ATATTACATACGGTTACCCGGCAGGATTGCTTACCCGCCCATACCCATCTGATTTTTTTTTTCACCACCCTATAACGGTTGTACCCATGCTTTTTTTTTTTCATGGCCGCCCATACCTGCGGTTTTCCCCTTTTCACCGTCAGTACCCGCCCATGCCTGTCCGTGATCTCCACGCAGTGCAACCATGCCTGCCCTGAAATCCACAAATAAAATTTACGCTTGCCCATACCGATGCCCCCCTCCGGAAGGGTACCCGTACCTGCCCATAACCTGCCGGTTACAGTTGGGTACGGTCGGGTACCGGCAATGGTTACCCAGTTGCCACCTCTGCCGCCGAGTAACCTCCCGCCTGACACCACTTCCTCCTACCTAGTAGTAACGCACAGCCTCACATTCGTGCACCAGCTCTCCTTGCTGCCCCGCTGATGGCGGGTGCCTCTCTCTCTCTCTCTCTCTCTCTCTCTCTCTCTCTCTCTCTCTCTCTCTCTCTCTCTCTCGCTCTCTCTCTCTCAACCCTCTGTCGCCATTCCCTGCCCGCTCTCATAGCGCAGCGCCTAGTGGTTTGGTCGAGCGGAAGCGCAGTAGCGACAGGCCGCGTATGCCACAACCGAACAGCAAGGCCGGCCGCTCCCCGACTTTATGCATGTTGTCCTTGCGCAGGGGTCATGCTAATCTACTCTGTATTGTTCCAATTCTAACGGATGTCCCGCAGGACCGCGGCCACAGAGCACAGATGCCCCAGCAGCCCATGGCTGTATCCACATGACTAGGCTGCTGGGCTTCTCAACAAGCCCCGACCCCGGCCCCGGCACCAGCCTCATCCAAGCGCAGACAAAAAAAAAACAGGTAGGAATAGAAAGACAAGTATATACAAATATATTAAAAAAAAAATAAAAATAATAATAATAATAAAATAAGAAAACACGAACGGGGGAGGGGGGCCGATTGTACATAGTCCAAGCCTCACGGGCCGGCGGCTGGACTCCCCTTAGCAAAACCAAAAGGGATAGTCCCGGGGAACCCTCAACCCCTCGGCCTTCTTCACGCTGCTCCGCTGCTTCGCTTTGCTGCCCGCTGGCCTCGACCCCCGTATCTCCGCTGTAACAGTCCGGCACCGTAACCTATAGGGCTAAGCCGAAGCCTGGTACTGGCCAGCGCGGTATTCCATATGAATAGGTGCGGCGCAGCCCCCAGGCCTCATGCCTACCTCCCATCAGACACGCTACTGCTAGGCTCCTACGCCGGCTTGCCCTCTTTGYGTCGTGGCCGCCCCGCACCCTACTTCGCACGTTAGACTACCAACGGTCACCTATCCCTGCCAAGGGCACCCCTGACTCCTAGTAGCCAGAGTCAGGCCGGCCAACTACGCCGGTTGCATAACCCAAAGTAGGAAAATCACACGCGTGCCTTAATCCCGCGCCCCCACACCCGCTCTACTCTAATCAAGCAACTTACCTACGTAAGCAAACAGACCTAGGCGCGTCTCGCGTAGTTACTTTAGACCTCTACTCGTACTTTCGGTCACTTGCAAAAACAAAGGCGGATACGCTTGTCAGGGTATTCGCGCCGACAACGACTTTGCCAACAGGTCCAGGTGTACGACCGCTCCAACTTCACGAACGTACCTCGGGTGAAGCGGCTCCCTAGGTCTAAGAGAGGATCGCTCCTGGCATGGTATACAGGATTTACAGTAATCATCGATCATCTATCCCATGCCATCCCAATAGTGCAACTCATGTATCTTGAGGTATGTCGTATCCGTGCTTTTGTGACCACCCGCCGTACCATCGTGCAGTGCTGCCATAACGTCGATCTGGCGAGCGACGCCGCAGACTACTCTTTTGGGAGTCTTCCCTTTGCTTCTCATGAATAGATGATCATCCCTTACTAGAAAGTTTGGCCTCATCTTCAGGACTCTTGCGCAAGCGTCCCTTTCCCTCGTCTCACACGACAGGAGCATTCCGAGTTCAAGGTATACTCCTTCATCTTCCTCTGCTCGAAATGCTTCCTTAATCTCTAGTTCTTCGAAGTCATCATCTTCCCTTTCGTGGATCACATTGTCACCTTCTTCCTGCTCTACCACCTCTTCTTGATCTAGCACCGTATTCCTGACCGCCTCTTCCTGAAGCAACACATTTGCCAGCAGATACACCCCACCTATCACTCTCTCGTGCTTGCCTACCTGCAGCGCCCCTTCCTCTATCGTAAGCAAGTCCTCATGTAGTTGGTACTTGCCTGCTAATGCCAGCTCCATCATCCAGTCCACACCTGACATTCCCCAAGAGTCTTCTTCAATATAGGGCTTGAGGACTAGGTCTGGTCATCGTACATGTCCTGGCGGCGCAAGCCACACAGGTCGTCCTGGAGTAACATAGTTACCCACGGCCAATGACCAGGAGTTGATGTGAAGTCTCACATCCTCCTCACTATCCAGGAACCCGCCCACTGGTGGAGCGTCCTCGATCACTCCTTGGCTGTTCTTGTCCCAGTCGCCTCGACTCAGCCCGTCCGCTCCTTACTTGTTCCCCGGAATTCGTTCCAACTCGAAGTCGAACATCCAGATGTACGTTAGCCACCTAGCGATGGTCGGATCCGACGGAGCGAAATTCTTGAGATAACCAGCTAGAGCAGTTGGGTCCACCCTCAGTACAAACCTGCTGCCGAAGAGGTAGTTTCTGAAAATCCTTAAACTGTGAAGAACTGCCAAGGTTTTACGCTTAAACTGAGAGTAGTTCCTCTCAGTCGTGTTAAGCGTTCGACTCTCAAACCTTAGTGGTCGTTCTTCTCCATTGGGATCTCGTTGAATCAACACACCTCCCAGAGCAGTCGGTCCTGCGTCCGTTTCAACAATGAAAGGCTTGGTCATCACTGCTGCGTGATCTGGTACCCCCAATACTAGACCTCCTTCCTCAAACTCTTTCTTCAGACCTTCGATTACCGACTCTTGCCTATCTCCCCATTCCCAATCTTGGCCCTGACGCACCAGCTTTCGCAGCTATTCAGTCTTCGCCCGAAACCCTTTTATGAAGATCCTCCAGAATCCACACGTCCCCAGAAAGCTCCTTACCTCTGTGATAGTCTCGAACGGTGTTGGCCATTCCGAGGATCTTGTTAGTCTTCTTGGTATCTGGCCGACGACCCCTCTCGTCGCACACAAATCCTAAGATAGTGGCTCCGCTCATGTAGTGCCTTGACTTCGACCCGCTGGCTGTAAGGTTATGCTCCTTCAGAAGATCCAGGACCTTGCACAAGTCTTGCACATGATCCCAAACAAAGCGCCTGACTCCCGACATCACCTCCCGCTCATCCTTCTCCTTAGGCTCTTTCACGGCCAGATCGTCAATATAAGGCTACGTAATGTGAGGACTTATGGGCTGCATTGCCCTCACCATATGCCTCTAGACCATGACAACCACATTCGTCCACCCTTGCGGTGCAACGTTCATATGGATCAACCCTCGAGGGGTATGCATGACCGTCATAGGCCTGTCGGATGGGTATACAGTAAACTGATCGTAACCTGAATATAAATCTATGAGAGATATTATGGCTCTCCCGGTGCAGGCCTCTGAAAGCGCATCCGTGTTGGGGAGACCACCTGCGTCCCTCACTGTTACAGCGTTTAAGCGCTGCAAATCCTGTACCCACCTCAAAGTCCCATTGGGTTTGACGAAGCAAAACCAGGGAGATGCATACGGCCCTCTCGAGTAGCCTGCCACATGAGTGAGGATCTTCCCATCAAGGTAGTTAACTACCTTCTCTTCATCAGCTGGATTAGGGTACCGCGCACCTTGTAAGTTCCATGCCTCATGAGGTACGGTGTGTATCCTAATCATCGGGATTATATCCACGTCCAGACGACCTCTCTCATCATCACTGAAGGCATATGCAACATGCCTTCCTCTTATGGTTTCCACCACAAGCTTCTCCTCTTGCGTTGTAAGGAAGTCAGGCTCCTCTATGATCAGCGCCTTTTCTGTCTCAGGATTGATATGGCATGACCCATTCTCTGCGTTTTCTCTCATCTGCTGTATCAACTCTCGTTCCCGCGCGTAGTAAACCTCTTGCTCCATTGCAACGAGTACGGGAACAGGGCGACACTTCTGATTTACCCTTTTGTATTGCCTTTGTGCTTGAGCCCACCCCTAAAAAAGGTCGAGTTGCGCTTTGGGGTTGTGCTCCACTCGCTCCACCTATCTTTCCAGGTGTTCGATACACTAATTTCATTTCTCCTGCGCCCATTTGTTCCACCACCTTTTCTTTCAAGGCTTCCACAGCCTTTGGGTCCGCCATCCCATAGGTCGACACTATATCCATAGCATCACCTATGTTCGCTAGGCTAAGGGTCAGTGCCTCCGGCTCTCTCCTCTCTTCATACCTGCTGCCTTCAATCCTCAACCTTTCCTCTTCTGACTCCTCTATAGTGAATGAGCCGGGGTTGGGCCGGTTCCTGATACTCCCGGGTCCTATATTTTTGCAAGTGATAACCTCATAGTTTCCGCATACTGGGTCGCACAGGACGAGGAACATAGTCCCGTCATGTTTGTTGAGGATGACCGTCTCCGTTCGACTTAGGAACGACCTACCCAGTAGGATAGGGTGGTCCAAATCAGGCATCACGAAAAAACAACTCCTTACTTTCACTTTCCCGATCTCCAGGATCACCGATGTGGCGGTCCCTATGAACACCGATCGACTATTCGCCCGCATCAGGATCCCATTATCAGAGCGATCTATCTTCATCCCTGGACGCGTGGCATGTTCCTCCTTTATGAGGTTCATTTCTGCACCACTGTCCATCATCGCCGTGCAAGTCTTTCCTTTTACCACAACATCGAGGCATCCACATGCGACGGACTTCCAGTCCATCTTCGTACCTGTCTCAGCCCATTCCGCCTCTTTAGCGATTATGGTCCCTAATCGTACGCTGGCCACCATCTTCCTTGATAAACGCGCTCTTAGCTCATCCTTGAGCCTCGGCGCTGAGGCAAGGACGTTTTTCAGGTTCATAAGATGGTTATGACCTTCAAGAATCCTGTCCATGATCTCCTCTACGTCGAACCATTTCTCTACTCGGACAGCATACTTTTTTTTCTTCACTTCCTGAGCTTTGTCCGTATCAGGCTTGGCGCCCCTCTTTTTGGCTCTTTGTTCGGCCTTCTCGTCCTCTTCTTTCCTCAATCTGCCATCCTCATCATCCTCTCCTTCTGGAACATCCACCATCTCTTTCTCTCCACTGGGTTCAGGAACATCCTTTGCCGGTTCTTCAGGGCTTACCGGCCCTTTGACCCTTGTCCTGACCGCGTGAGGTGCTCTTCCCGACCTCGAGGGTGGTCTATAAGTCATTCCGGACCTTGACGTCGGTCCCGAAGTCGTGACGCCTAGTAGATTTCCAGACCCACCTTGAAATCCTGGACCCAAATCGTAGAGGTATACTAGAGGCTCCTTATCTTTCCACTCCCTGACCTCGTCACACATATCGGCCAGTTTCTGTTGATACCTCCCGACTTTGTCTATCAAGTTTTTCATCCTCTCCATCGTCTGTCGGGCCTCTCTCCAGCAATCCTTCCCTATCTTAGCGTGTCGTGGCCTGTTCCAACAGTCCTCCTCTATTTCGTCATCCGACTCCACTATGATTGGCTCTTCCTTGATGGTGTCGGTCTTCCTTCCCTGCTCCACTTCCTCATTCTCTCCTACCTCTTCCACCCTGATGTCACTGCGGACCTCTTTCTCCTGCCACATCCGAAACATGGCTGGAGGAGTGGGTGGCGCGCCGGCCTCGACTCTTCGTAGGGCTTCCGTCCTTGTACCACCAGGGATCTTTGGGTCAAGATAGTACCCCCATTTGTCGTACATGTCCCAGTCATAGTTAGTGCTGATTAGCCATTCGTCTTCGTCGTTTCTCCGGACATGGCAGAACTTGACGGTATGACCTTTCTGCCCACAATGCCAACAAATGGCATTCCTCCAATCTATCCTTCCTCTGCCGGAGCCTCTTCCGCCTTTTGACCACCCTAACTCCCTGACGCAGTCCAGTCCCCATTTCCTCCACCTGTAGAATTTCCACCACCGTTTCCTTTGCCATTTCCCCCTCGGCCACCATTTCCTCGTCCTCGGCCCCATCCTTGATTTTGTCCACGTCCACCACCTTGGTTGCCTTGCGATCCTTGTGGGGCTGACTGTTGGGGTTGGTTTGGTGGTGGGTTCGGGTGGCTTACTTGTTGAGACTGGGGTCCTGGGCACCCGCAGGAAGCCGTGCTCATTGCTGCTCCGGCGCACGACCCATGTGGCCCACTCACCGGCCATGGTGCGTATGGACAGTGCCCATGCCAAGAACTTGGAGGTCCGTAACCTGGCCACGGCCCATAGGATGCTGGTGCGGCTTGACTGGGCGGCTCAGGGGGTGGCATTGCTGCCGCTTGCGGGACTTAACCCCTTCCTGAGCCTTGCCCCCCTTGAACCAGATTCTTCGCCTTTCTCTGGGCCTTTGTTAACTTTAGAGGTTCAGGCTCCTCTTCCTCCTCTTCTTCCTCTTCCTGCACCACTGCCTTCTTCGCTTTTCCTACGGTATGTGGTGCTGCCATAGTCTTTCTCGCTGCCTTTGCCTCTTTCTCCGCATCGAGTTGGGCCACAGCATCCTCTACCATTTTCTTAAAGTCTCGCCCGTCACTCGTCGTGGCATCCAAAGCCTTCCTCTTCTTCCTAGCCTGTCGCATTTGGAAGATGTCTACCTGGTCTAGTTCTCCTTCTAACACGCCCTCCTTTATGGCAGCCCAAGTCAACTTCTTTCCTGGCGCAGCCTTTTTGGTTAGCGCTGAGGCCTCCCAATTCTTGGAGTGTCCTAGGAAGGTTGCACACTGTTCCTCTTCAGCCAACCCTAGGACTTTTCTCGCCATTTTTTCGAATGCCGTCGTGAAAGCCCCCACCTCTGCAACATCTCTAGGTTTTTCTTGGTTAGCAGACCATCCCCTAGCTTGAACCACCTTTGCATCTCTGCTTTGAATTTGGCCCAGTCTCCCCCTGCTCCAGCAGCCACCTTCATTATCTCGGGCCGGATTTCCCACCAAATATATATGGGTAGGAACTTGAACTTGTCTGCCTCAGGTACCTCGGCTGTGACTTGTTCCAGCAGCTCCAACCACTTGGACACTCTCTCCCCTTCAAACAGGAAGATGTCAACTTTCGGCATTTATAGTTGTGCCAACTCCCTTTTCTCGAGTACCTTAACAATGTCTTCCGGCGTAGCGGCCGGGCCCCGCTCAATTCCATCTGCGTCCGACATCTTTACCTCCCTTGGCTAACCAACCTGTTAGGAAAGAAGGGTAGCCCACCAGACAGCTTGTCAAGTTCTAGGGGACTTGTCCTAAGTCGTATTAGCCGTTCCACCTCTAGGTTCAGCCAACCACTCGACTGTTAGTTATTCAAAGCCTTATATACAACCTTGAGCCGTAATTCTAGTCACTTAGTCTTATTATTATATCATACACAATCCTCTTTATATAAGACAATCCAAACCATAAACTTTTTGTCTTTCTGCCTAGATCATCGGCCTGCACTTAACCTGGGTTCGTTCTCTTAAGGACCCCGGTAGGCAGCCGAGATCCCCGGCAACGGCACCACCTGCCGAGCGCATCGGTCCCGCACGGGGACCCTCCCGGCAGCGTCACGCAGGATTATGCAGGATTTGTCGCGGAGAGCGTTTGCCGCTCCGGCCGAGTGCGCCAGCCGTACCTCTCGCGAGCCCCTACGACAGGACAGGGTCACTCGAGGCACCGCTTACCTCCACCTGCGGGAGCTGTCACCATCCCTTAGGTGGGTGTATCCCCGCCGAAAGTTTTTCATATGCAATTGCAGAGGTGGCCCAGTCGAGGGTGTTTCTCGTTCGCTGTAGCATAGGGGGTTTCGCGTGGTCGAACGCCCGGTAATCGAACCCGCACGCGAATCGACGTTCTGGGGGGCTGATGTCCCAAACGCGACTCGGCGCTGGTCGACTAGGACGCATCACGCACACTACGCGTACACCACAATACTCACATCTACCCACGCATAACACATGGAAACATACACAAAACAAACACCACAAACAACACCCCAATGCAACAACTCCTAGTCCCTTCAGTACCCGACCCATAATGTTATGTAGTGAGAATCAAATAGGTACTGCGCGCTAGACTTTTGAAGTTTCGAGCGAGCGCATGACCTCCTCATATCAGCCATTCGGGCATACGTAAGCATCCGCGCTGATGGGGTACTATGTAGTACTCGTAGCCTCGCGGCCCCTGATAATCTCGAGGGCCGCGTTCGACACTCAAGTGTCGGCTGACAGACGCTTTGAGGGGTAATCTCTCGTCGCCAGACAACCGTCATGTGCGGTTGAAGACCACACCCTCTTCTGCACCCTGTGCAGAGGGGTTGAGTAGACAACTTTAAACTGTCGTGACGGTCAAATATCAAGGGGTTTGACTTTGGCGGCTGCCACGGACTATAACGTCCAGCCATGAAAATTCAAAAGAGAAACTTATTCCAACTCGTATCGGGTTATTAGCCTTCCTACAAAAAGGGTAGACCGACACCAACGACGCTTGCGGGTGAGGCCCGAAATCAGACCCATAGGTTACCCGATGTCCGGAACGATGGAGGCCCGTACACGGGTACCCATAGGTCGACTGGGACCGATACTTTGCCCATGTGTCGCTTCGCGATTCTGGAAACCCGGGCCTATAGGCCATAACGCGCTCTGACCCTCGCCGTTTGACCCATAACTCTTGTGAGCGAGGATCGGTAAGCACGGCGCACGCGGATTTAATATAAAATCTTGCGGACGTAGGTCCTACGTATATCGAGTTACGATGCGAACTCTCGTACGTAATCGTGATGTCGGTGCACTATACGGTGCCCATACCCGAATGGCCCTATCTGAGCCATGGGGTTACTTTCGACGCTCAGGCATCAGTTGAAGTGCGCGCTAAGAGGGGATAATCCTCTGGCGAGCGCAAAACCGGTCTGAGGGTCTGTCCGTCTTCTGCACCCTGAGGTGTTCCAAAGGGCGCGGGGTAAGACGGTCCCTGGGGCAGAAAGGAATTGGGAGCAGTGGTGAGTTGTCTAGCGCATCACCAGCGACACGCTAACCCTTCCGCCTGGAACTATATCGTTCCACCAAAATAAATTCCAACAAGGAAAAAAAAACAAATACTCTTAACATTATCAGAAGAAAACAGTTTTGGTACTAAGCCTGGTTTATGCTGGACAATGTTATTGGATTCCAGGCTTGGAACTAGCGTCCTACCATCTGATCAATATTGAACAAGAAAAAAAAAAATGTGGGAGTGCGGTTGCATAGCCCTGTGAGGGTTACCCGAGCGTACGCCTACTTAAATTATCTCGTTACCAGGGTAGAAAAATAACAATCTCACTCAACAACAAGGTTGTGGGGTGGTTCACTCTCACGACAGTTATATGGGTTGCCCATCTGAATCCAAAGCAATATCACTCAACATGAATCAATCGAGACTCTTCCAAACATACCTGCAATCACATCAAAGAGTCAAGCAAAGGTCCACGCACTACACAGAGTGAACTCCAACCAACCTCTATACTCATACCCCTTGCTTTAGCCATGCAAGCTCCAACCTCCGGCCAACCAACCATAATTAAATACTCAGTACCTTTGTTAAATGACCATTCAATAAAAGTCCGGGTGAAACCTTAACAAAACAGTAAAATCATCAGGGCTAAAGCCTTTTTAGGTCGAGTATTGAGAGTGAATTGGGGTTGAGTCGTAAACCGACGAATCGGCAACCGACCTGTTATCAGTGAAAAGTAATCATTTTGAAGGAACAGGCTGAACAGATCAAGCCTTCAAGCGAAAACACGGAAACCTGCATCACAGTACAGGCCAAGAGAAAGTACTACTTATGTTTCCGTCAAAGGAGAATACTCCCCAGGTCGTAGTCTAGCTCCTCTACTAACCTTAGGGTCAGCTCTCCTTGCTAGTACAAAGTCACTGAGTATCTTCTCTATCCAGGTTAGACCTGCTAAGTAGCCCCTAGCTGAAGATTAGTCTAACTCCTCAAATTCTACGAAATTTCGGCAGCGCTTCCCGTAGGAAAAGTGCCTTCTCAGAATTTTTATAAGCTCAAAAGTGACTAACTCTTTCAGATTTGTAGAAATTTCGGCAGCGTTTCCCGTAGGAACAAGAGGCTGTCAAGATTTATACGAAGCTGAAAAGCAGAAAGACAAAGCAAGCTATACTTGGGACTATCTTCTGATACTTGCTTGATGATCCAGGAACAACGACAGTCAGCACGACTTCTAAATAAGACTATGGGCTAGCATTGATCCTAACTCCTAGCAGGGTCAGTCCTATCTTCATCCCAAGTTCTCTCTCTCACCATCCATCTGATCTACCTATAGCTCCAGCACTTGGCGAGCATCTAAAGCAACTATCCTATCGAAAAGACGTCCCAAGTGAGAGCCCACAAGCATGCATAAACAAACATCTCTAATAATCCCACATCAATTTGCCCAAGTAGTCCATTAGATCACTCAGTTGTTTTCCTTTGGTAGACCCCCTCACTTATGGCATAGGATCAGACAAGGCCATAACTTAAGGGCATGCCCAACCTGCCTAAGTAAACAAGTAAAGTAAGCACAACTGGACTGCCCTAACTTAAGGGTATGCCCAACCCCACATGAACTCTAGTCATAAAACATATGACCAGACCTCCCTAACTTAAGGGTACGTCTGACTTCTGCTTAACTGACGACATAAAGCCTAAACTATACTGCCCTAACTTAAGGGTATGCCTAGTCAGCTCATAGACAAAGTTACATAGGGCATAAGATTAGGCTGCCCCAACTTAGGGGTGTACCTAACCTGCCTAAAACAAGTACGAACGACGAATGGTCCGACCTCTGTCGGGACTGGTGAGTCCCGAATGACTTCTCGTCACTCGAGAGACTGTATATGACCAATATGTGCACGACAGAGAAAACCGGAGGCCGGTATGCTGGAAAGAGCGGAAGCATGGGCACGGACAGTTGGAAGCCAGAGGGTGCCCAGAGTCGTCGGGGCCACCAGACTAGAAATGGGTTGACTAAGCACAACAACAGGGGCGACTCCTTCCCCAAGGACGGAGAAGGGTCGCCGGGAAGACGGTAGTAGGATAGGAAGTGCGCAACAAGGGAAGGAAGGAAGTAGGAAGGGACAGGGCCCAAGGAGCTGACGCAACGCGGCGGCAGGAGGGCCAGGGAGACCGCAGGGTAGGTGGGAGCCGGCACCCGGAACGGAATAGCATGCGGGACGCGATAGGAGCGGGGAGCGGAGGTCGCTGTAAGGCAGAAAAACGTCAGGGGCACCAAGGAAAGACGTGGTACAGGCGGGGCAGGAGTGTGGGGGACCACATGGGATCGAAGGACGGGACGGTACCAGCAGGACAAAGCGTCGGGGACCACGCGGGACCAAGGGACGACGTGGTGGAGGCGGGGCAAAGTACCAGGAACCGTGTGAGACCAAGGGAAAGACGCAATGCAGGTAGGCCGAAGTGTCAGGGACCGCGTGGGCCTAGATAAAACGGTGGCACCAGCGAAACCACTAGCAGATGGGGTATCGACGGAATAAAAAGTGTTAGGAGCCGTCGACAGGGATTGTCGACAAGACGGAGAAGACGGGCGGGAGGCAGGAAAAGACGGAGGGCACCTGAAGCGACCCAGGGTGGTTCCTGGATCAGACGCAACAACAACATAAATAAAATAACCTGACACCAGGTGAACGGGACCGTCCGGGCCAGGGGTTCGGATGAAAATGATAAGTACCGTCGCGGCAAGCGCCGGCAGGAGGAGAGGAGGGGACGGTAGTAATGAGGGGGCCGGCCAGCAGTATGCCGGACCGGCCAGACCAAGAGAAACGAAGTTCCAAGGGCTCCAAGCGGCGGCAGCAAAAAGGAGCCCCCTTTGGCCTTGGGGGTGCCACTGCTGCAGTCTGAGGTGCAACGACCAGGTACCGGCTACAAAAACAGACCTTGGGTGAAGTCCAACAGCCAGAAAGAGGAGAAATAGTTGTTCGACACTTGTCCCTACAGCAATAAAAGAAGGAGGGAGAAAAAATGGGAGACAAAGGGGGAGAATGAGACAAAGGAGGAGGAAGGAGTGGAGGAAAATGTGCCGGCAGGTTGGGACCGCAGCAGTAGAGATGGGCAGGTCCCAATGATGACCTGATCCCTCCTAGATCCTAGGAGTGCAGTCCGAATTGCAGAGATAAGGTCCTTGGGGCATTATCTCTACAATATCTGAATTTAAGCAAAAAAAAAATAAAAAAAATACTGATGTGAGTTGGCCGGCTCATTTTTGGGTCTTAGATCTGAGATATGATCTTGCGGAAGTGGAGATCGAGCCGTTTTTTTGTGGGCTGACACAAAACGGCTAGCTCCGAAATGAGTTGGCAGCAAAATGGAGGGAAAACAAAGGGGAGAACAAGACAAAACTGCGTATTTGGCTCAAGAACTGGGCCAGATACATCAAAAAGAGGAAAAATTGAAGTAAAGGCTCAAATTTGGGGCAAGGGGAGTTTGGGAATGGCTCGGAATGATGAGGACCATGGATCTCAGCCAGATCCATGGCTGAGATTGGAGCCGCCACTTGGAAAATGCAACGGCCTACTCAAAAGAGGCCTAGACTAAGAAAAAGATGAAAAATGGGCCTTTAGGCCCTCAATTCTCAGTAAAGGCTGCATTTTGGGGATGGGTACCCCAAAAGACAGCACTTTTTGAAGTAAGAAGAGGCCGGGGTAGGCCAAGGGGTAGTCCGAGGAGGTACTGGCCTCTCGGACTGCATGTACCTGGCCAAAATGAGACCCGGGAACCTCCTGGTAGGCCAAAACCGGAATTTGGGCCCTTGGGGTACCTCGCACCACCTAGAGGCACTTGGAGGAGCCTAGAGGTTGGGTGGTGGACCTGTGCCAGCCTACATAAGCTGCAGGTGCAGGCCGCCACTCTCATTTGAGCATGAGAGGTGCCCATGCTGCCCAAATGAGTCCAGGAGAGAGTCCGAGTGGGAAAGAAGCAAGGGAGTGAGGGTCAGAGCWAGCCTGTAGCCTGGCTATGGTGGTAGGACTGAGGAAGGAGATCTAGAGGCTRGGAGGGAGCAAGGAGAGTGATYCGCCATAGCCCTCAGGCTGTGAGGTAAGAGGAGAGGCTAAGACAGGGGTCCCCTTAGCCCTCTTAGAGGGGAGGACTCCACAGCCTTAGAGCTAGGATCCTGTCATAGCTAAGAAGGAGGAGTGAGGGAAGGAGGAGAGAACTTGGGAGGGAGGAGAAGCCACTCTCAAGAGGCTAAAACCAAGCATTAGGGCTCCACTGCCTAGACACCAGCAAGAGGTGAGTGAAAAAGGAGGAAGGCCTCCTTCTCCTTATTCCTCCTCTTCCCCTTCTCATTCTTATTCTCCTTCTCCTCTCCTCTCTTCTTCTTCCCCCTCTTCTTCTTCTTCTTCTTTTTCTTCTTCTTCGTCTTCTTCTTCCTCTCCCTCTCTTTCTTTCTTTTCTTTTCTTTCTTCCTCTCCCCTTCCTCCATCCTCCTCCTTCTTGTCAAAACTGCGATTTTTGCTGATCTAGGAGGGAGTACATGTTGCGATTCACTTGGTGATACTTCCGTGATGTTTCCCCTTGAGTAGATGTTATCAATCTCGGATTTTCACTGATTTGGGTGCATGGGTAACTTGCGATTCACCTTGGGGTAGTTCCGTGATGCTTCCCCTTCATAGATTGCTTCAAACTTTGAGTTTT